AGCGCAGCCGCCGCGGTCGGGGCCGGGGCCGGGGCCGGCTCTGCCCCCGTCGCCCTGCAGTCCCCCGGGCTTACTTTACAGACACTCGCCTACTGCCGCAACCCACCCCCCGGGCACGGCCCAAGAAGCTTCCCGGCACTGCCCCTGCCTCCAGCTGAGCCCCGACGCAGCCGGGGTCCGGCCCCGCTGTTCCGCCCCAAACGGGCCCCCAGCCCACCCCACCCCGCGCGTGCCCAGGCGGCAGCGCCCCGGCGGCCCCGAGGGACGTGGATCTCCCCTTCGGGGCACGGGGCAGCGGGCTGCAAGGAGCCAGGCCCGGCTCTGCCCCCCACGGTACTGAGTGGGGGCACACGAGGGACCCAGTGCCCGGCAGAGCAGATGCCACACCTGGGTGAGTCCAGTGAGGACTCGTGCTAGAGCTTATCCTGCACTAGGGGTAGGTACCAGCCCCACGGGCGCAGCACAATGTGGCTCTGAAGAGAAGGTGCAAGGTCTGGAGTCTCTTGGGCCCCTAGGCTGCCAGCCTTGTAAACGAGAGGTCCCACCTGAAGTGAAACGCTGGGCAATGGAAAAGGGGCGAGATGGGGCGGAGCAGTGACTAGCAGTGACAGCCGGGTTTGGGGCATGCATCTGTGCTTGTGGGACAGTCCCTGGGCTTTGATCCAAGAGGTACCTGAGAGGCTCCCTGTGGAATGGATTTAACTTCCTGCGGGCTGGGGATCCACCAAGGTGCTGGGTTGGGCAGACTGGCCAGGGTCTCTCTGAAGAGTCATCAGCCATGTCTAAGGAGTGCAGGAGTTCAACCAAAAAAGGCTCCCAGAGAAGGAGTTGGTGCCACCAGCAAGGACAAAGATGCTGAATCAGGGCTGGAAATATCCCATAGGCGCGCCTTATCCAGACCCACAGGTGGGTTGGCTGGGGAGGGAGAAGGGGCAAAAGAGGCAGCTGAGCTGAATTTTGCTTCTAGCCACTGTAGAGAGTGAATCATCCTTGCTGTGTTTCCTTGTTTGAAGGCTCCCTACTAACATCAACTTACTGCCCCTCCAAGCCCCTCCCCAAAGTCACAGAAACTGGAAAGGGGGCATAAAACTGAGCCCATTGCATAGGCAGCGGGTAGCAAGCCTGGGTTTGTATTCCAGAGTGATTGGGTCCCCTCCCGGGGTCCAGCCCACTGCACTGACTGTTTTGTAACCATCAGTAGCTTCCCATCTCCTGAGAGGTGCACCTGTGCCCAGCAGAACAATTCACATCATGTGCGGTGCTCTCAAGGTGAGTCCAGGGCATTATGAAATGTTATAAGTTTAGGGCCTGATCCAAAGCCTGGTGTAAAGGCTGAGCATTTTCATCCATCTTAAGGACCGCTGGACTCATTCAGACCTGACGAGGCTCAGCCCCTATTGGGAAGTATTCAAGTCTGCAGTCAATGCTCTCTGAGTGCCTATAGCGTTAGGGGGAAATCCTGTCTCTACTGACATCAGTGGCAAAGCTCCCAGGATGTCACCTTCCACTGTAACACCACTCTGCTGGCCATGATGATAAAACAAGCTACATGATGAAGTAAGTTTCATTAAACAGTTATGTAGTTACAATCTCCACCTACAATTCATTCAGGATTATATTAGCTTTTTTCATGGTCCTGTAATGCTTTAAAGGCAATCTTCAACACATATTTGCAATAATCTCATCGCTGTTTAGTTCAGCCAGCTTTACTGGCTTCATGAAAGGAGTTGCCCCTTTTTTGGTAAATTCATGGAGTTAAAAAGAGTGAAGGCTGACTTCACGTATTAATGGAAAATGCAGGGTATTCAGCTTTGGGTATAGACAGGTTTTTCTATATGTAATTCTTCAAGCTTAAGAAGATTCAGATTCTGCATTTCACAGAAAATGACCAACTCCTGAAAGATTAGAAAATTCTGCATTGTGTGACCTATCAATAAACCTTTGAAAATGCAAGAAGCGCAGGGCCAGTTGGGTTGAACTGTTGCTGGTCAGAAAGCAATACTTTGTACCACACTCACTGACCACAGTGGAGCAAGAGGAGTGCAGTTTTAGTCCTAATCTTGAATTGTGTGGCTTTTGTTAATGATTTGCAACAAGAGGTAAGTTGAAAAGCTGATTTGGACAGGAGGAAATGAGAGTAGGAAGGGTTACTCTTTATTTTCTCAGTAAAGGAAATAATGCTATTTTAACTAACAGTAATGGCAAAGCACTTAATACTGCCTAAAGATGCACAGGAAAGTTAATAAATAAATGATAAACTTTAACAGTGCTCCTTTACATCTGCAACAGTAACATGGTTCTGCTCAACACTTCTCCTTTTAAATGGACTTGCACACATATCCAATTTATTACAGGATTAATTAACCACTGAGTCCAATTTTTCCCATCCCTTTATTCAGCTTAATTCTCAACAATACCCCTTAACCCCCAAATGTCAAACAGTTTGGTGGAATAAGTCCCTCTGAATGAAACCCGATCAGTTGTTCCTTTTCCAGACAATATCTTGTCAATTCCAGCCAGGTTGCCTGTTGCCTCAGTTCCTCTCAGAAAAGTACACTGGAATGAGAGTCATCATTCCTTCAATGAGTTTAACCAGGGGAAAGAGAAGACATGATGAGCCGGCTCATCAACTCTTTCACTGGTTGCTGGAGCTCTGTTCACTTGTCCTTGCGGGGATGGTTCAGACCCAGTCTGCAAGAGAGGAGAATGTTTCCATGGAGAAAAATGAAAAGCTCATTTTGGAAAGCTGAAATCATATCTGATTTTTTACTTGATCTCTTTCTTTCCAGAAAGTTTGAAGACTGAGGGGAAACATAAGGGAGGAAAGATAAGGAGTATTAAAGTCTTTTGGTAGGGATCACACATGAAATCCTGGCTGTACTGAAGTCAATGAAAGGTTTGCTATTGATTTCAGTTGGCCCAGAGTTTCACTGCATTCACCTACAAGGCTCAAATCGGCTCATTCCTGACTGAGACCTATGGGGACCCCCTACAAAGAAATTCATAACCATCACAGTCTGTTCTCAAAGTGTCCTTGAAGCTACCTGACTTTTACAGGCGGCTCAGAAGACTGACATAGGCATAAGCCAACAGGCATGGGACAATATTCCTCTGTATTCCACTCGTATTCAGTGTCTACCAAGCTGACATGGAGCATACCTGGGATATTTTTTCTATACATATTTTTTTTAAATTTACCCAAGAACAGACAATAAAAAAAATGAAGACCTGAATCCCTTGAGGTATATGTTTTCTCTTACCCCCCCACATTGAAAACAATTATCTTTGTGGGGGAGTAGGGTCATGGCCCATGTCTCACTTATACAACTATCCTGTTGACCTTAAAGGGGGAACTTGCATAAAGTAATGTTTGCATTTTCTCTCACACACAGCATACCTGCCTATATAATACACACCCCATTTTCAGAAAGCAGCTGGAAAAAAATCTGAGTAGCAGATTGAGTAGCAGTGGCTAGGGAGCTAATTCTGCTCCTGAGTCTGCTGCCAGCTCCTCACACCCAGTGGGCCTGTGGACTGACCCTGTGTGCTGTGTCCAGGGCCATGCACCAGGTCTGGGTTTGGATGCTGGGTCCCGCCTGGCATGCCAGCCCTGTGGCCACCCACCAGGTCTAACCCTGCACAGTACATCCAACCTTGTGTGCTGGATCTCAGGCCATAAGTTGTGCCTGATCCCATGCTGGGTCTGGGGGTGTGCACTGTGTCCAGGACAGTGAAATGGGTCTAACCCTGTGCACCAGGTCCAGCTGCAAAGCAACCCTGTGCACTAGCCTGATCCAGTATCCAGGGACATGTAATCAGTTGAGGGGTTACCCATGGGCACATCCACACAAGCATGCAAATGGCTTTGAGGTGCCACAAATGACATGCGGTGCACATGCACCCACGGGCTGTGCTGCTAATTAGCAGTGCAGTGACTTTTTTGACACCAGAAGATCCTGGTATCAAAAAAACCCTATCACTAAAAAAAGCGGTACAGCCCATGTGGCAGCAGCATGCACTGCCAGAAACTGGAGCCTTGTCAGACAGAGCTATGCTCTGGCTGCTGGTCAGGCTCAGAGTGGCTGGCTTGGTGTTGCTGCTGCCCTGGGAGGCTCCTAGGACCCTAGGGAAGGCTGCTGGGGTCCCAGCCTCCCCTACCTTACCTGGGTCCCTTCACTGTACACCAGAGTGCACATGCAGGAGCACGCCCAGGGGACAGATAGCAGTGGAACAAATACCTACTGCTATTTGTCCTATGGGAGATGTGCACCCCTGCATGTGCATGCTCGGTGGGACACAACCAATGGGTCCAGAAGTTTGGTGTTGGGGAAGTGGTGGCTACATTTATTGCTGTGGCTCCCAGAGCCATGACAATTAATGCTGCCACTGCTTCCCTACCAAGTTTCTGGACCCCTGGGGATCTATTTTTTCCTGTATATAATGCACCAACCCATTTTCACCAGCTGGTTTGGGGAAGAAGGTGCAAGTTATACAATAAAATACTGCAATTTTGACTTGTTAACTCATATTGTAATTTCTACTTCAGAATAGAAGTGAAAACCTGCTACAATAGTCACATATGCAGCATATATCTAGAATACACAACAATAATTTTTACTGGCTACACAGTGCTGATATTCTTTTTTTATAGACAGTAAAACCAATTCATGTTGTTAGCAGGAATCATATTTAAAAATACATAAAATAAGGATAAATAATCATTTTTTGTATTCATATTGTTGAAAGGATTCCTGGTGTCTTCAAAAATAGGACTACAATTTCACTTGAATATAGGTGACTTTGTTTGTTATGCTATTCTTAAAATCAATATAGCTGTAAGAGATTTCAGACCAGTAAAGCTACCCTTAGTCAAGTTGAGCAGTATCTTACCATGGGAAATACACTAGATCTCAGTGGAACTGCTTGAAAGTAAGCAGTTACTATCTCACGTTACTAAGAATGATAGAAGTGTGTCCTTTAAAACTAAACAGGTCCCCAACCATTTAAAGTGCTATTACACAATTGAAAGTTATCAAAAACAGGAATGCAAACACACACAACCAGGAAGAAGCAATGTATCACAAATACTTATGAACAGCTCTGGCAGTGGTTGGATGATTATTTGGCATTTCCAAGCAATTTGTGTAAGTATGAAATGTTAAAATCCATACTGGAATTAGTGACAAATGATGGGCTGTTATGCATAAATTGGCTTGTGGGCTTAGTTCCAGTTACTATTTGGATAGGCATTTTTGAATGGCATGCCACACTAGCTTGTGGTTGTGAAAAGAATAATCTTTTTGCTTTTTCCTTTGTCTCTCTGCAGTTTTGAGTTTCTTTTTAAAGGAACCAACCCTTAGCTGACACAAAATGATATAGCCCCCATCAGTTTTGACAGAGATACTTCAAGTTATAGCAGCTGAGAATCTGATCCTACATCTTGAAAGTCAGATGATTAACGTGCTTTGAGGAACTGGAAACTAGAGGGGAAAAGGCAGAGGTGAGTAGGGTTCTCAACTGAAGAGCTGTACAGCCAATTTATACCAGTTGAGTAATTAACCTACAGGCTTAAAAATGATGTGTGCAGAACCTTTTGGTCTAAACTTTCCTACTTGAGCTCCTAAAGTTAGATACCAACAGTAAATAAGTGGCTTGAGTTTCGAAGGTGCTAAGCACCCAGTGTTCATACTGGCTTGATCTAAATAGTAGCAGTGGATTTTCAGCCCTTTGAAAATCAGAAATTTCATTAGGCAACCATGTTTGAGCAGTGTATTTTTAACGTTTCAAAATGCAACCAGAGTGCCTACAATGGCTAATTTGATTTTGGAAGTTTGTGGTGAGCTTCTAGAGGGCATGTGAAAGGAAGGTGTGGGAAAGCAGAAGAAGGGAAAGGAGAAATAGAAATGGAGGAAAAGAAAGAAAAAGTAAAAGAGATCAATGTTAGGTTGTTGGAGGCACTGAAGTGTGGTTATAATGACAAAAACTGTTACTTTCACCATTATCTGGAACATTAAACCAGAATGGCAGGCAGTATTATCAAACTTAAAAAGGGACATGTGACCCAGTAGCATAACTAGGAGTGGGTGACTGGGGCACCAGCCTTGGGCACCTACTCAAAGGGGGTGCAAAAACAACAGTTTCTGTTACTGCTGGCCACAGTTGCTGCCCAGGGTGAAGAACCTGGTTGTTACACCTCTGATGTGACCCCAGAAGTCTGAGAACCATTGTCCTAAATGATGAGATTCCTGGATTAGGCATTTTCATACAGCACCCATCATCATGAAGCCCCAATTTTTTATTGTGGTCTCTAATAATAGTATTGGGTAGTTAAAGTATTTGCTTCAGATCGCCTTTGTTATATTAAGGCAACTCTGGAAGGGTGCTGAATACACAGGCAATTCCCAGGCATTCCCCAATGACATCAAGAAACTTTGGATTGTGCCCTAAGTAAGGCTCAGCAACTCCAGATCACAAGAGAAGATGAAAGCCTGAAACTACAGAGATTTATTAATTGTTTGTGTATGAAGAAATTCTGTGGGTCAAGTCCTGAGTCAGGCCAAAATTAAGACTTCTGGGTTTAATCTGATCTAATTTGGATGAGACTGCCAGGTACTCGGCACCTCTCAGGGTTTGGTTCATGAAGCACTGTAGCAGTGGCACTAGTTGAATCTTTACAAAGCTCATATTAACACAAGAAAATTGACTTCACCAGACCTGTCTTTGTTTATTAATGTCCTGCAGTTTCAATTTATGTTGGAAAAAAGTCATGAGATAGTCAGGGGATATTAACCATCTGGAATATTTCACTATTTTATATACTGTTTTCTGTTTACAGCCACCAGCCTGCCTGCCCTCCAAACACAAAACTTCAGAATATCCGAAATATGTTTGTTTGGAATTAAGAACTTTGTCCTAACTACCGTCTTCTACCAAGAAGGCAGATAGCTGAGCTTGAGGGACTTTTGTTTTTGCTGGGTTTTTTGAGGTCTTTTGGCTTTTAGTAGCCATGCATATTTTAATGTGTTCTAATTATGGAAAAATCCTGCATGTTTCTATAGAGCTTAGATGTCTTGTTACAATGGCATTGTACAGCATAAAGTTACACTGTGCCGTCTTGCAAAGTGACCTGATATAATGAGACGTGGTGGGTGAAATAGCTTCATTTCCCTATGGCTATTAGAACCATATCATGGGCCAAAGATAATTAGCAACTGCAGATTTCCTACCTATATGTCTCTGATGTTTTATATAATACTTGGTGATCAGTATAAAGCGTTCCTTAGAAAACTATCAATGGCATTAGACTTTGTGTGCAAGTGCCATTTTAATAACCTGTACTTTCCCGAGCAGGCTGCTACTCTCTATGGATTTCTTTTCTCTCTAAAGAGTATCTGGATGTCCCAAAACCACAAAATGGTTTCTAATGATTTTTGCTTATTCACATAGTTTTTTGGATGCTGACTGAAGTCCCTGCTGTGTGGCAGGACAAGGTCTGTGTGCTTCTGAAATGTGTTTAATATCTCAAAATAGTCCTAGCTGTGTCCAACATTGAGGTAGATAAGTGTGCTGACACCTTGAGTTGCCCCCCCCACCCAAGAAGGCTGACTGTCATTCATAGTGACTACATGGTTACACAGGAAAAGGCCCAAGTTCACTGACATTTTAAAATATGATCAGAATTCTGATATTCC